CCCCTCCTCTCCCCACCTAACAGCTGATCGGCTGGCTCTGAAGAGGCTTGGGCAGGCTTGCTCAGCACCTAAAAAGCCTGCCTGTGTGTCTTTGTGCTGAAAAAATCGGCACAACATGCTTTAAAACGCTTTAAATTGGCTTTATTGAAAAAAAAATGATTTCAAAAGTGCTTTTAAAACTGTTCCCTGCCTCCCCCCTCCTTTCCTGAACTTTTCTTGACCTAAGAAAAAAGAAAAATATCCCCCTCTAGTGGCAGAACGTGGAATAGCAGCTTCCCATTAGTTTCTATAGACGGAAAAGAACAGATACGGATTAAATGGTTTTCAATGCATTCGTATGGGAAATGCAGATTCGACATATGAACTTTTCGACCTACGAACCGCCTTCCAATATGGATTAAGTTCGTAAGTCGAGACCTCACTGTAATGCCTTTTAAGGAACAAATAATTGATAATGATGAACACAATTTAATATAGAGGCTATATGTGAGGGGGAGACCCAAACCCCTGGTATTTAATTTGAGCTACTTGCTTCAGATTAAAGTTGCTGTTTTGACTAGAAGCTATGAACTCATTTGAACACGATGCTAGCACAGCTGTGTGTCACATAAAATAACGATTGATAGTATGATTACTTAATAGCCCAGTATTCTGTCCATTGTTATGGAGCATAACGCTTGGCAGGTAATGTACTCCCACTGGCAGAGGCCCTCTTGCTTATTTCCCTCCACATGATGGCACTTACGAGTAAGTGTGAGGACAAGAAGGAAGAAGATGAATTGAATTTATTTATTACAGTCAGGTTACCAGCTTATAAAACATATTTATGGCTAAAATATACAAAATGCAGTTTAAAAATATACAACCAGTTCATAAAACATATTATGGGGCTAAAATATACAAAATGCAGTTTAAAAATATACAACCAGTTCATAAAACATATTATGGGGCTAAAATATACAAAATGCAATTTAAAAAGTGTACAACAGATAATTCATTGTGTACTGGTTGTAAAATATGGGGAGAATCAAATACAGCATTTTAATAGCTATCCTTTGAACCATTGGATCATCTAAGGCAAACCGGTTTGGACAGGGTCTTTGGGTTATAGGGCGTCCTTCCTACGTATTTGTAAAGATTTGTAAAAATTTTCTCCCTTCAGTTGGGACCGCAGCATTTCTCTGTGCTCAACAATAAACCATCGTCATGCTAAAACCAGTCAACCCGTGAACTCAGGAGACTATAAGGGAGCGTTGTGCATTGCTGCTGCACAAAATTTTGCTGCAGAACATGTAATAAGGGAGTATTAATTGGAAAGAAGTAGCTTGATGTAAAATTCATCAGGTCTCCCTGGGTATCTGAGAATAATTGGGCTCAGGAGGTTTGTACGCAGTTTTCTATAGAAAAGACAGTACTGTACAGTAAGACATGACCTACAGTTTCCACCTGGCCATCATTACATGGACACATGCAATCCGAAATAGGTATACTATACGTTGAAATCTTCCCTCCATGAGCTTAGAGGGTAAAACATTAAGTCTTGGTAATGTGAAGGCTCTTCTGGTCTTTGTTGTCATTGTGCTCGTCAAATATGAAGATATTGTAAAGGCATTATTAGTAACATCACTGTATTTGCCCGATTGGCTCATATGCTACAAGTTCTATGTGCCAGGTTCTTTGTTTGAATACTGGTTTAGCACCGACATGCCCCATCGCCAAAATAATATTGGTGGAAAAACCCATTTGCCTTATTACTTTTGTGAGTTGTAGTTTCCATTCTAATTTAAAGGAGTCAAAAAGTGATATCTGTGCCAAGCCTTCTGAAGAGAAGCTTTAGCCAGTAATTAAACATGGACTTTGGTGCGTGCTTTTATGGCAATTTGCCCCTTGTTGGTATTGTTCTTCTGTTCCCGCCAAATTTTATGGCCTCTTCAAGGCCCTTCAAACAGTGCACGTCGTGTGCGAATAAGATCCCTTTCACAGACAGCCATGACCGCTGTTTTGTTTTGTTTAGGGGAGAGACACCAGGCCAGTTCTTGCCAAGCCTGCAAGAAGCTTACCAAACTGGCCTTAAAGCTTCGGTTGCAACAACTGTGTTCTGATCTTTGGGAAAACTCGTTGACACCTTCGGGTCTGACTGAGATGGAACCTGCCGTCCCTAGAGATCCTCCAACCCCTCGAACCGAACCTATTGCTTCGCCAACACCAGCTACTCCTTCTTCCAAAGCTTCAAGAGTGTCGAAATTGAAATCATTGACACTGGGACGACGTCGACATTATACCATATTGCCTCTATATTTATCATATATCTCCTATTTTAATGCGCATATCTATGAACATTTGGTATCTTTAGCAGTACAAGACATCACAAGATTTTCAATGTCATGTATTATTGTGGTTATAATGTTATCTTTTTTTGTATAAATAAATCTGTGAGGTATTTTTAAAACGTATTTCTAGTTTACCTGTGTTATATCCAAATGTGTACATTGTTTAGGTTTTTTGGACTTTGTGTGTGTGTGTGTGTGTGT